TCTGTGATACAAGTAGCAGCAAGACTTCTTATACGTCCTTGAAAAGTGTACTCAATCACTTATTGGATCGAATGAGAAGGTGACTACAACGTGCCTTTGTATGTCCTGGCGGAAACTCCCCATTGAAATCTCGAAGGTGATCATCACAATGGCAAGCATCGTCCTTGCGGTCCTTAGGTATGCATTCCTCAACTCCGTGGCCATGAGGAAAATCTCCACTTCGTTCGAAATCACCGACAAGATACCGCTGATGTTGTCTGCATAAACAGGTATCCCCCAATTCCGACCACTTCTTTAAATTTGACATGACCGTCTCTGCTGTCCTATGTGGTGGAGTGCGGTCTTTTGTTAGCCGTGAATTCTTTCGAGATTCACCGTTACCAGTAGCAATACAAAGCTCTCCTGCTTTTTGTGTTTTGAATTGCATACGCCGATTGTAGGCTTCAGCCACTGCGGCCAATCTTCCACCCTCAGTCTGGACTCTTTTGTTGTTGTCGGTCACTTCTTGTAGGAGAATGGCTCTTTCTGATCGTAACCATGGTGCATGAGATTGTAGTGGTACAGGTCCGACTGGAATAGGGTCTGCACTATGGTTTGGTCAGTATTGATATCTGACTCAAGAATGAACACAAAACTTACATGAACACAAGAGCATCTGCTGCAGCAATCTCCATTGCCTCTCTTTCATCTTCAGTTGCATCTTTCCAGGCTTGCGTTTTTCGTACTTTTCCCTTTGCCCGCCATCGAGCAGATCCCCATCTTGCTCTTGCTTGACCATTAGGCCCACGTTCTCGCCAGCGAGCACTCGTTGGAAAATCTAGTTCCTCAGGAAGACTGGAAGAAAGTGGCACCACTGTTTCATCCGTATCCATGGTATCTATCGTGCTGTCTGCAGACTCGTTCAAACTTCCATCAAGCGTCGTATCTCTATTTGAATACACCTGCTGAAGGTACATATCGTTGATATCAATCGGGACACCAAGTTCGTTGAGTGTGTCGACAACGTCCTGTTCGATGTCGTCAAGGACTGGGTGTTTAATGCCGGCCCTCTTATACCGCTTGTTTCTACGACGGATATTGTTCTCGTGCACAGCCATCACATCGGCAGCAGTCATCGCACCAGGGGGAGGAGCAAAATCCTCTGCACGTCTGGCACGAAGTCTTCGACCCGCAGCACTAGTTTTGTTGGTCCTAGAGGTGGCAGACTCGCGTCTTTTTTGACGACTTGCACGAGGTGTAGAGGCTGCTCGGTTCTCAAGTAAATCTTCTTGTTGCACTGTAGGAGTCGAACTGGCGGAGAAGTCTTCGGAAGGGGCCCTGGAGTTGTACATAGTCGTGTCGACTACTATTGTATCATCTGGATCATCAACGAAAGGTGTTTGTGGAAACTGCTGATCAAAGGAACCATTCAATTGATCAGGAAGCTCTGGCGGAAACAGATTTTGAGCATCACCAGACACTGGAGGTGGGTAAGACACCAGTTGCTGATAAAGAGTTTCTGAATAAGTAAGTCTAGGTTGGCTATAGCCAGGGTTATGAACGAGCTTATTCAATTGAGATTCCGAAGCATGAGACAACTCATCATCAGGGAACTCATCTTCTGAATGCGACACAGACAATAACTTGTTCAGCCGCTCTTGTAAAAGTCGGTTATCAGTCAAGGCGGCTACGCCAGCTGCCGTGAATGCATGCATCTCAGACGAAGGTCTTTCTGGTCTTCGTAGTCGAATGGATAGAGCTGGTGAATTGGAACGATACGGCATAGCTTGGCTCTCAAGATCTGGACGAAACGCCGGATTATAAAGAGGAATAGATTGGTCGACGCCAGTCTCTTCCTCTACAGGTTCTTCCTTGATTGTGACCTCTTGATCGTTGATGTAAATTGAGTCAAGAGAGCTTGACCCTTCACGCTGGTCTTCTCTATCTCCGTTGGAAGACATTTCCAAATAATCAAGTCGTCTGGATAATGAAAGGTATGTGGTTGATTGAAAGAACTATATTGCGAGGATGAAGAAGTATGAAGGAAACCTATAGAAAGAAGATCCTATGATAGTACAGAAGTTCTGTGGAGGGGATATGTTCTGAAGGTCGGTGTTGTTGTAAGGAATTAAAAGTCTCAAGTTTGAAGATGGGTTGGATATTATCAAGAACCCAGAACCGTCAATAGCCCTCATCATGCTAGCAGTAATTTTGGTTGTGGGTTCGGTAATCTTCCGAGTCTTCTAGTGGACGCCACATTAAAAAGTTGGTTGATCTGTGGTTGTTGGGTGAATAATTATACTTGATTCGAATTTTGAAGGTGAGAAATAGATAACTAGATATGAGTTTAAGGATGCTACGCCATCTTCCTAAGAATACAATGTGTTATTCCTCTATTGATCAACTTTCTAGTTGATGTTAGAAAGCTTTATCAATTATATATACTGTGAACTAATGTGTTTATCTTGTTTCCATACCAGAACGCTATTGAATTTGCTTCGGAGAACATGATATATGTTAGGTGAGAGGGTGCTCTTGTCTCTCTTTGTTAAAAATAAAACACGTGCGTTTGGCTAGACTTTAGTGATAAACTTCCTCCAATTTTTTTAAGAGTCCTTCGAAATTTTCCTGTGTTGTGGGAACTACAAAATCATTGATTAGTGCTATTGTTCTTGGTCTTTTGTATAAATGTAGACCTTCTAATCTTTGGTTGTTTTCATAGTATAATGTAGTTTTTTCATCTACACCTTGTCAGCTCATGAAAATGCTGATGAAAGAATCAAAGCCTCGCTCTCACTGCCCTTTTGATTCACTGGAAAGATCTAAGCCGGAGCTCTACCTCCAATGTATAAATTGATTCATACCAGAAAGTCTACTTAGAGAGTCCTCCGCCTCCATCAGGTATCTTGATATCTTGATGGAAAAGGTCTCAAGAATTCTTTAGGTAGGCTCGATAGTCACATCAAATTTGTATAGCCAGAATTAGCTTGATATTCATGTTCATAATTAATCAATCGCAGAGGCTTTTATACTACTTCAACAATTTTGTGCATAGAGAAACGAACGACCTCTAATCCCAGCCGAGGGTCAATCGCCATGTAATCAATATCTGATGAGAAGAATGCTAGGCCTGGGGATCTTGAGTTCAAGCCTGAGATTAGAAACATACAGTGACCTCTATAACATAGTGATCTTGCTTAAAACCCGATATATCTGATGTCTACCTAGACACTTTTCTTCATCAGTGATACTCATCGTGGTTGCTTGAATGTCTGGTAGTACAACAAGTATAAGACAATGAATTTTCATAAGTAAGTGAACTTGTCCAGAAGAGCAGCACGTATGGCGATGCATCATGTGCATGTTTCTTCGAATACAGGGACCCGCGAATGATACCGAGTTTCGAATAGGCTGCGCACAAATTGTCTGTACCTGTAGATTATCTGCGGATAATCCGCTTTATAGGTTATCTGTTAGAGGTTCTGTTTGCTTTACGGATTATCTATTAAGGCTTTAAAATTATTCATTTTCCATAAATAATTTGTAGATTATTTATAGATAATTCATTTATTTATAAATAGATAGATTATTTGTAAATATATGGGTTATTTACGGATAATTTGTGGATTATATAAATATACCCATTTTTTTCATTTAAAATATGAAGCTATTTTCAAATTATTTTCCAGTCCAAAAGTGATTTTATATTAATTTTTATACTAATTATAAAATTATATTAATATTATGAAAGATTATAAATAATTATATAATATACAGGTAGGTGGATATCTGTAAGTAATTTATATCCGCCCCGCAGGTTACTTATTCAGATTTTTGAATTATCCGCTCTACAGACGGATTATTCGCAGATTATCTGTCGAGGCCATTATCCGCCCCGCGGGTACCCGTTGCGCAGCCTAGTTTCGAAATTAGACCCATGAAAAATGAAGCAGCTGCTTGACTCAAGTAAAGGAAAGGGAATAGTACTATTTCACCGAAAGGCACAAGGATCAAGGAATTGGTCAGTATAAGAAATGAGAATATTGTTCTTTCACTCTGGTCTAGTGTAGTACGAGGTGCGTTGTAATAAGTTAGATTCTAAAGTTCCTATGTGCAGTCAGAAGAGTATGTCTGTTCTCCACCGTAAAGCTTTCCTCAAGTATTAGTACTTATGATGTTGGAATTTGTTGTAAATCTATGGCAACTTAGAGCGGCAACATTTATTTTTAGATCACGAATAGTATTGAATGTCCATGAAATACTAGATCTGCCCAGCTAGTTCGCAATCGGCAGACTGAATGGGAAGTTTGCCCTGATATTCTATTGGGTAGAGATGAGATTTCGATCCAAGGTTAGCTAATGATTTGAGATGAGAGTATAGCTAGTCGAGAATGAAGCTATTCTTATACCTAATTTCAATATTGTAGATTCGCTGGAATTGACTTGGACATTGAGGGCATTGACACTTTGAAGTTTGCTTCGCATAACAGCCGCTGCGTCATTATCCAATGTGTTGTACGTAGGTAGCTGTTTGCTTGGTTTTAGAAGCAAAAAATAAGTCGATGCGTGGAAATTTGGATCAGAGTGGTAAGCCTTCTCGATGGAACATTGAAGAAACGTTTGGTTTCGAAGGAGCGGCATGTCAATAGTTGTAAAGGCTAGTTTGCGCTGCACGGTGTTTGGGCTCTTCTTCTTGGGGGCTTTTGAGCATCTCATCTGTCATGTCTTGGATTAAGCTTGCTCCAATGGATTCAAAGGAGTGTTGGAGTGAAACGACTTGGTGTTTTTAAGCTTACAGCTGCGTACTGCAGAATCCACAGTCAAAAGTCCACAGATAATCCCTATATTAAAGGTCCAGAAACAGTATCGTGATTCAATTGTACCATGAATCTTCCTATAAACTCTATCACTGCCGCTCAAGTTATGTACACCCCTGGGACCTCAAAAACAAATTGACTCATCGCTAGAAGTAACTCAAAAAGCCATTTCTATCGCAATATCTCTGGAAACCACTAAATCTCCTATCTTTGTAAAGAGACTAGACGAATCTCCTCTAATATACTGAGTCCGCTAGGCTTCCACCCCAAGACATCTCTAGCTTTTGCTCCCGTTGCCCTATTCTCTACCGAGATGAACTTTGTCAAGAACGGACCCAGGCTAGCAATGGCATCCTCCGTGGAAAGATGTTTCAATGGCAGATTCAATGCCGTGACCATATTTTCCCACATTTCATGGAAAGTTACATTAGTAGCCGAGCTAGCATTGACCACTTCTCCCGATTTTGCATTTTGAGCAGCCAGCAACCGAATTCTCGCAGCATCGTCAACATAAACGGTGGTCGTGATTCTTTTGCCTCCTACATCTACACACGCCACTTTTTCTGCCTTCTTTAAGATATCCATGAATATTTTGACTCCACTTCCCCCTATTCTGAATACCCATGGTGCCAAGCGTATGGCGATAATTCTGATTCTCCTCACTGCCAGCTCGAGAAAATGGGCTTCAGGTTAATGCGTATCTTCCGGAGAAGTCTCCGTAGTCTCGCCACCATCTGGATCCGGCGAGACAAATAATGTACCACCAGTTACAACAAGTCGTTTATTGGAACCCTCCAACCCATCCGCAATAGCTTCAGCTGCCGCCTTATCAATCGGCCAAACGGCATCATAGCCTGCGCTGGCATTGATTATATGGTAAGCGGTCGCAAGATGGAGAACAATGTCTGCTTCGAAACTTTGGCGACGGAGAACATCGAGACTGTTAAGATCGCCTCGATCTGGAACTTCCCCTGCTTTAAGTAGCTTGGCGTCTCCGGAGTCGGATCGAGAAAGTCCATGGACTTCGTAGCCTTTTGCAATGGCAAGTTCGGTGATGACGGAACCGATGTAGCCAGTGGCTCCGGTCATGAAAATACGTTGACCATTGCTCATGATTGTCATGATGAAGAGCTTTGGTATTTTGTATGGAGAGATAGTTACGTGGGAAGAAGGGAAATGTGATTCGTAAAAATAAAATAAAATGGATTATCCACTCGATATATATATATATATCTATATAAGTATTTAGTGACGCTAAGGTCAAACATGGCTGAGGCAACCGCTTAACATCTCACAGCAAGCTCCGGATTTACAATTTACCTATTTCTACGAAGAGAATCCCTTATCTCTATCTAATTCCGCTTCAAGGAAGCGATATGGACTACTTCTGTTACACCATAAGCTTTTCGAGCATGTGTAGATCCCTCCTGACAAGGCTGACTTCGCTCCCCTATGAAATTGGATACTGTGGTCCATGCATTCCCCACACATCTTTCACGCTAAGCTCCCAACTGTAGTCGAACCATGAGGATTATCATATTCCCAAGTCAATTAAAACATTCGAATCATTTGAAATATTGAATTTGATTGAGACTTGAAAGTATTTTCGTCATGTTAATCAGTCACTTGAGGCTTTACTTTTTTGGTCATAGATATTTTCACAGGCTTGTCTTGGTGAACTAAAATATTAGATAATAAGGTGGGCGCTAGCAGATCAGCGTTATAGTTTATCCTCACTTCATCGAATTAACATCGGGTTATTTCTAAGTTCTTATTAGGTACAACTGCTGTCAGCTTTAACCTCGTGGTGGTATCGAATGATTATTCTCACAGCTAGAGTTCTATCATATACATGAATGCTCTTTATTGAAGGTATTGAACCTGTTACGACAGGGTTTCTGGAACCAGAAATACTGAGCACAGGTCACTACTCCGTGCTGGCGGCAATTTTTTAAGACTATGTAATCTTGAAGTATGTTGAAATTGTATTTATAGGCACAGAGATATTGTCCACTCTTGTTCCTTAGCAAAGCGAAGTATTTTGGAGTTCAAGCAGAAGAATCACCAAAGACTGTAGGCGGCCATATACTCACGTGAGGAAAGTGAAATGGCTTTTCATCCCCCCGTCTCTGATAAAGTGCCATCATAAGAATCGAAAAACGGTATGAACTTTCTAGATCAACTGGATCAAAAAAAAATAGTTTTTATACCGGCGACTGCCATGGAATTTGGAGCGTCTGGCAGTGATCCCCCTGGCGAAACATCATCAACAAACTTTTTAGAAAAAGAGAGGACGTCACTCATGATCAGAATTTTTTTAGGGAGGATGTTTAGCTTCATGTTTTTCCCACGTAATTTTCAATATCTAAAGCGTCGAAAGTGAATAGTAGCGGAAGTTTTGCTGCCGCTGCTTGCTTAAGCGAGCCATTTTACAGGAAACAAATCATGGGCAAACAGACCTTCCGATTGTTTCTTGCTTCCCCATCAAACGTACACATCCAAAATTTATCCACCAACTCATACAGCCACTTGGGAAAGAATCATGGATATGTTTGCGAAACAATTTCCCTCCTCTATGTTTCCATTTCAGAACATGGAAGGTAGCTCTGTTCAGATACAAGCCGAGTATGCCGACCGCGACCCAAACAACAACAGAATTCAGCCTGCGTCTCTCAAGACCAACCTGCAAACCCTCAAAGTTTCCAATGGCTCCCCAGGTGAGATAGCACTTTGTTTATAAAATTTGTTTTCATTTGTCTAACAGTCGAATCAGGAAACAATAATACAGATGATAACGTTGACATGTCAGGCCTCGATCATCCTGTTGGCGGAATTGTAAACAATCTGAACAATCGCGACACGAGGCGCAAACAACACACATCTATCAACACCGGTCAGATTCATCAGCAAGCTGAAATGGCACGCATGCTACAGCCCACCATCCGAGCACTTCAATCAGCCACCAATAAAGCTATCAACAATAGTAAGAAGATCGCAAGTCAAGGCGAAATCTTTATAGGACCGAGATTACCAAATGGTCGGAAGACTTCGCGACGCCTCCCGGAAAGAGATTCTTCCAGAGTGAGACGCGAGGATTCTACCGAGAAGAAACGTAAACGGAAGGAAACGCACAAGACTGTTGTGAACGCGCCCAATACAAAGCCGAAGAAAGAAAAGAACAAGAAGAATGGTGGCGCTAACGCTAAAGCTAAGCCTTCGGAGGGTGCTGTCAAGAAGCGCAAGACCAGAAAGCCAAAAGAGGGGAAAGTGGACCACATGGAATATTTGATGGAACATCGCAAGCTTGGGGACGTGAATGCGCTTGCTGCTGCAGATAAGACTGCCAGATTAAACACGGACGAGAAAGTGGATATCTATGGTCATGGACTGAACCCTGCAGATTGGGAGGCAGTGTATCAACTGGAATATCAGGCGCGTACTGCAAGGCTCAGAGAAAGACAAGCTAGGGACGAACAAGCGTTGATGTCGGCTTTAAACGGTCTCTCTCTTGATGTAGCAAGAATAGGTGGTGAAGATTATGATTTGATTCTCTGAGTTCAACAGAATCCATTCGGTGGAGATGACTCTGTGAACTTCGGCGAGTTTTAGTTTGCTATGGTTGGTAAATTTGCACCATGGTATTGGAGTTTTCCTCAAACAATGGGCCTTTCCTTCGATGTGATTATAAGAAGGAAGTCATCCGCGCCTGCTTCCTCGTACATAGCTACAATCTCATGTTACGATATAAATAAATTGCTTGAAAATTATTAAAGTCCTCTTGAAGTCGTATGCATATTTGGATAATTTGTTAACTAACGATCAAGCTCATCATATCTTAGGATATGTACCACGATTTATCTATCTGCTAGGAACAATTCGTAAAAATTAAATACTCAACAAAGTGCTTCCACATTTTAGAGATACGTTATGTGGATTGATTGAAAAAATTTCTAGCTCTGTGAATCTTCAGGATTTGTACACTCTCAAGTGATCTTTGAAAAGTCTTCTACAGAAAAGTTCATTATCCCAAACATACCAGACTGATAAAGCTCCTGCCATTCAATCAAAAAAAATTAATTTTATTTGTCTTTGAAGTTCAGTGTATTCATTTTAATCACTTCTACTTTTGTGTGAATGATACTGTAGCTATCCAATACCCTTCTATTAATACAAAAACTCTGATAAGCGAACTACGCTAAGTGTCTGCTGTATCAAAATCTGTGTTTATTTAAGAACATTCAACTTTACTTGAGTGCTCAACCTACTAATCAGACTTCTTCCTCGAGTTTTAAGCTTAGCATCTTTTCCAGAATACCTATACATATTTCAGTAAATAATCAAGTCGAGAATCATCTCTATCCTTTTGCTTGCCATTATATACATTGGAAGTTAAAGCCACAGAGAATATATCCCTTCTTAACAAGCTATGAATTCAAATAATACAACCGAATTGTCTCATGTAGACGAAAGCTTATCTAGATGGATGCCTCCACGATTATCTACCCTTTTAACAGATGAATTCGAAGGAAACGCAAGTCCTCCAAGAGAAGGTCGCGCCGATCGTCTCGTGATATTTCACTTTATGAGACATGGACAAGTGAGTTTCATTAAACATAAATATCTAAGAATGAAGGCTAACTACTACTTTAAAGGCATATTCCAATGTCGGGGAACTTAACAATCGTGGCCAGCTTCGAGATCCAAAGCTCACATTTGACGGCATACGGCAGTGCGAACTAGTGAGAACAGTTCTCAACTCCAACCGCAACATTAAGCAGATCTATTGTTCTCCAATGATCCGAACAATTGAAACAGCCTTGATTACATTCAGAGATGTAATGAAGTTTTCGATGAAAAAGTCTGCTATTCAGGTCACGGCCTGGGATGCAATTCGTGGTACGAAAATATGCATCTTCTATGATTTCTGGCACGTTGACTAATTTGTTTGAATAGAATGGGGCTCCATCCCTTGTTGCACAGGTACTCCACTAGCCAAGCTTCAGGAAAAGTTTGGCCACGAAATAGACTTCAGTCTCATCAAGCCTGGTTGGGAGTTCAACGAGGAGAAACACCGAGACAGATCTCGGGCCGATGAGGTCAAGCAATTGCTCTTCAAAATTGCTCGGAATGTGCAAGAGTTGACTCGTCGTGGCTTGATATCTGATATCAGAGACGGTGACTTTTTGACACGTGGCACATATTATGTGCCATACGAGATAGCAATTGTATCTCACGGCGGATTTTTGGAAACAATGCTGGCGGCAGAACTAGGTGGCAGTAAGTTCTTCATTTTATTTCGTCAAACTCGATTCTTCCTCCATGAACCAAGATTCGGTCATTTATGGAAGCTTCAACAGGTACACATATGCTTGGGTTTGCCTTCAATTCAATACCGGATCACCCCAAACTACCCTTTGTTGAGTCCCCGTTTGGAAACCAAACTCAGCTAACTTGTTTGATTGTAGGAGCCTCTGAATTCCCATATAGGAATTGTTTCCACAATGCGAATATGAAGTCTTTCTCTTTCGAAACCATCAGTGGTCCCGATGGCGTCCGATACGAACTGACTGAAACAAAAGAGAGTAAGACGCGAAAATACTCTCGTGGCCCAATCCACCTCGGCTAGAGTGTATTCGCTACAGGCTCAACGAAAAGGGTCGATTGAACTAATCAAGCGATGAGAAATATGACGGGAAACAAGGAGATTACAGAGATAATCTTATCGAAATGGGGATTTAAGCACTTCGATGCGTTTGAACTCAGCCATGAATAACACAACATTATGGCATTGCTTTTTTCACATATAACTAGAGCAATATATTTCTAATAAATTTTCATGTATCTCAACTATGGGATATTATTAGTATCAGCTGCACGTAGCATGAAAGGTGACTTACGTTCAATTTCTCTCACTGTCGTAAAGTGCCCCCTTTATTATCAAAATTCAAGAACGAACCTACATGCGAATACCAAGTCAATGAATCTGAAATCGTTAAAATTGACATGCATATCGAATGTGACCTTCAATTTTCATTACTTAGGCCGGAATACTTTTTAATATTCTCAAAATAATCGTATGGGGTTCTTCGCAATGAAAGAACCGAGCCAGGCAAATGAGATCTACCACAACCTTGCACCCCCTGATATTATGTGTGTCTCATCTCATACATCAGGGAAGATAAAAAATACAGCACACGAAGACCTTCACCTGTAATATCCCAGATCTCCAAGTTTTCAGCTTGGTAATATATTCCTTGATCATTCTCCTGGGTGGTGAAATGCGCAGGCACTGTATATCTACAATCTATATTCTCTGTTATCTTTCTTGGATACTAGTATGCACTTAATTAGTAAGTGATCAACGAATTCAAATCTTCAGCTTCACTATTGGGGTTAACAGAATAAAGAGCACGATCGTATAGTGTATTCAATAGTCCGAACTTGCAAATCTAAAAGTAGTTTTGAAACCTGAAAATAGCTCAGAATTTCAATCAGATTTGATATCTTAAATAATTTGAATGTTCTGATTCTGGAACTTGATCATCTTTATTATTGAACTGCAATCCGAACTGTTGAATACTCTACGATCGCAAATCAATCTCGACAATTAGATACTTCGTAGACATGGAATTATATTATCATAACTTCTCTCATGACACTTGCGAGTAGTTTCTTTACATTCTAGAATTAGAAAGACTTGGACTATCAAGAGTCATTCTAGCTCTCTTCGCTCAGTGCACCTGCCTAGGTTATTTCTAAGCGGATCGTGCCACGTCGCTTCACACATTGATGCCTCAGGTATCAAGGACAAGCGAGATACCGTCCGATTACATTGTGCCACCTCAATGCACCAGCCCACGATCTAATGTTAATGAAAAGATCTATCTAATCTTTCGGGTTGAGAAGTAACAGCTTTCGAGTGAAGCAGCTTGATGACCATTAATGCCAGAAACTCATTTTTAGCGCTATCTCCATGATTTATGTCCCTGATCCCGGAGACCGATAGCGGGGTATGACCTACTTTTGAGACGTGGAGTAGACAACAACAAGGAATACTAATCATATAGAATACGGCAATCTCACGCCGAAGAAAAAGAGATGCGGGGTATGTAATAAGTCGTGTTTGAATTTCGGCCATGTTTCAGTTGTTCGAGTAGACTAGTATTGTGATGGGTCCCACGAGTTCTGGTGCTTGTAATCTACGTTCACCCGCTGCGAAATCTCGCTCTCTTCCATTTTCTAAGCTTTGGAGTCGTACAGACCCCTATAGAAACTCGAGATTTGCTAGAGAAGAAGATCTTGTTTGCCCACGTTAGGGTTCTCGGTGATCTCTTCATATTAATTTTCCCGTCCAAGTATCTGTAATGCTGCGTTTGGTGCAACGCCTCGCGAGATTCGACCATGGGAAAGGTGCCAGATATGTAAGGGCAACCAATAATTCTAGTAGATGGCCGCAATAAATGTATCATTTCATTCTGATATTTCTCTTGGCACCGAGGAGACTGCAACAGTTGCCTTATGACTGCGAGATTTAAACGGTGAATGGTAATCTTTTCGATGCAAATCTTTTGTGGGCAGGTGAGGGTAGGACTTTCTCTCAATTTACTTTAGAAATTTTTCTCCCTGTAAGTAGAGACTCTTGACTGAGTTCCGTGTCAGCCAAACCTCTAAAGTCAGTATTCTAGTCGAACTGCGGCCTTTATAACTTCTATCAGAGCACTCGCCAAATGGATGATTAGTAATCCTCGTGTAGTCCCGCAGCTTCCAATGCGATAAACGTAACCCGCCCCCCACTGTTCTATAGCTGGTTCGAGTCTTGTGCTACTTCCGCACATCAGGGTTTCAGCGATTGAGTCACATTCTTTGTATTGTTACTCTCACCACTGATCTTTTAAAATACTAAACCCCTTTGCTGATCCGAGGCGCATTCTTGAAGACCTGAAAGCCTGTTTGTTTGCTGTTTTTGGGTTTTTATGCTATCTCTTGTTGCATTTGATCTTCGAATCTATTCTCTATATAGAATCGCGCCTTTATTTCGTCATTCCGAAGAGGACGCTGATATATTATTGAGTTTTTGTTTGCAACTCCCTGGGCCACAATGGCCAGTCGTCGAAATCAAGCTATCCGTGAAATTCTTTGTGCAAAACGTACCAGAGACCCAATCTGAATGCTTGTTTGTTAGCCAAAAAGCTTTTCGGCTGTTTTCTCGCAAATATAGTGCAGGTCTTGGTTGAGGTAAAAAAAATCATGAGCTGTTAAAATGTCTTCCGTTCTTGTTTGAAGGATTTAACCTCGAAATTGCAACTCTGGTGTAGCAGTAAAGATACATCTCCGCATACTGAAAAGATTGCCGAAAGAGCACTACGTCTTGTTTCTCTTCAACCATTTCTTGCATGTGCCGTAGGATATAATATAGTGAATTATTTCTCAAGTGGATCCCAAGCCTGTGCAAAAACATTGGCTAGCCTTACCCCCACCTGATATCAAAAGACTTACAGAAGTGGTCGTTGATCTAGGACGCTGTCATTCCTAACTAGTGTTTTGGTCCCTAAAAACACTGTTTGGGAGTAGAGGACTGGCTGTAAAATTGAGACTGTGCAGTTGCGTCACCATGTGGTGGCAGATTCCGTACTTAATAAAGCATTCACTTATTAATGTAATAAAATATTAAATACTTTGATACTATATTAAATAAATCATATCTACCCTATTGATCTGATTAAACTTCTTATTATACATAACAAAGCTTATTCTAATCAATAAGGTTTTAGTGAATTTCTTGAATTTTGAAAGTTTTATCGAAAACTTTAGCTTAAAGTAACAATTTGATATATAAAAAGTTTCTAGACTTTATCTGTTTTTTAATCCACTTTCCCCTTTCCCCTTTTACTTTTCCTCTTTCCCTTTTAAAGTCTTTCTTTCGAATCCATAAGAATTATATCTATCTTTATATTGTAAATAAATAATAGAGTTATTCATTTATTTATATAATAGTATAAAGCTTTTAATAGTTAACAATAATATAATATATATAATATAAAGATTTTCATTTCGAATTTATTTATATATAGATTAGAATTAAGTCAAACTCTTATTTAGATAATGTTTTTTAGATTTATAATATAATAATAAAGCCTGTAATTATAAGATAATTTAATAGAGTCTATTTCTTCTTAAATTTTTGTTTAATATTTATTATCTATCTTTTTGACCTTTTCCTTTTTAAACTCATTTTTCTAATCTTTATACATATATCTTTTCATGTAACTCTAATATATAAAAATAATAAGATCTTTAAGACCTTTATTTACTTTTTTCCTATAAAAATTAATAATAAATAAATGTTCAAATGAATTTATTATATCTAGTACTAATGAATGAATTGATTTTTTTTTAATAACGAAAGCGATATCAATATTATAATGTATAAAATAGAAATTTGTATAGAGGTTTATATTGAATTTCTTTTCGTTCGGAGTATTCACTTTGCTACTACAGGGAAGCTCGCTTGGTCATCAATCACGAAGTCACGATCACACATCAATACTACATACCTAGGTACTGGAGCATACCTTGCCTTCAAACTCTAAGTTTCGTGTTCCCAGCAAAGTAAGGACATATTTACATCCAAGATCCTAAGCTCGTTGAGATGCTGCCTTGTCTTGTCTTAGACCACCAGGACCGATCGGGGATTACATAATGCATGCTCTAGAATTCGAGGCCATACAATTGAGGCGTACAATCTTTCATTAAGCTTGACCAGAATGGCCGTCTGCGAAAGCTTTTACGGGGGTCTGGTTTCGATGCAAGCACCGGCAGTATCGAGTAGTCAAAAACTCGGTTTTTGATCTCACGGACGCTGTTGCATCAGCAGTATTTGTGTATGAGTGCACCTTCTCATCTCACGTGGAAGAGTGACGCCTTGACCTTGAACATGATAGAGTACAAGCTCACCTGATGCCGGCATTTGCGACATTCCTTTTTCAATATCGACCACGCCAAACATTATCCTTACCAAAATCACTCTTCAGCTCTTAGACTTTGTGGTTACATTTCGTTTCTACTTCAAGGCTCGAAGACTTTGGATACGTATCGTTGGCTGCAAAATGTAGGAGGAAGTCAGTATCTCGAAAGTGGTTAGCGCCCGAGGTTATACCGAAGTTCTTCCCAAGGCCGTTGGTACCTCATTTCTCATCCACTAGGGTTGCGATGGAAGGTTACTAGACACGCCTGACTATTGACATTTATCACGATGGAAAGATATAATCTTGTGGAACACGGATATGACGAAGCATTACTAGGAAGCAGTCAAAGTTTCTCGTTCCACGCGAACTGTATACACCTTTCCTTATCTGCTAATCGCAAAGACCTGTGGGTAAAATTGATCATTCATTCCTTCGGCAGAAGTCTTCTGACCGAAATGGACGGATTGAAACATTTGACATATATTCTGAAATCTTGTCCAGGGCCGACTCGAGTGTACACAGTGTGCCTGATCAGGTCACCGAGTAACGTTACAACAAGCTTTTTTATCATTCGTTTCATTGAAGCCCTTCAAGCTGAAGTGGTTTCTTCCCAACCGCTGGGGTAATAAATCCACTTCTTCCTTCATCCCACCAAGTGGCT